CTAAAAAAGATTTTAATACATAAGATGTTGTCCCAGCTGGAGGCATCTTACCCCACTCAATTTGCCCATTACAGATCCAGATCAACTCTCGTTGCACTGGTATCCCTCGTTCATCACGTTCCTTGGACAGAAAATGTGAAGCTATTCGGCTGTTTATTTCACTATACTGATGCTTTCAATTGCGTTGATAGGACAAAAATTCTTTATACTATCTTTGAAAAGGGTATACAACCGCAACTTACCATAATTATCATAATATCATAACATAACGATATAATAATAACAGAATTATTTCATCCACCACCCATAGTATACTAAATATAAGGGTCGCAACTCTTCACTTTTACCCTCCACTCAAAGTGTTCTTCAGGGTGCTAGTCTCCCTGCCCTCAACCTATATTTCTCCCATATCTGATTTTGCTGATTGTTTGCTCACTAGGTATGCCGATGATGTTGTGTATGGCATGAAGTTTTCGAATTCCTCCGTGTACCCCAACTTATGCATAACATTTCCCTGCTCACCGACTGGTCTTCACATTATAACCTTAGAATGAATCCTTCCAAGTGCGAAGACGACTCATTTTCTTTGTTGATGAGTGAAAAATACCTGGATGTGATTAACACTTGCTAGTATATCATTATCAATGGAGAACAAGTATCCAGAACGTGCTTCGTCGAATACCCTGATGTCATCACTTTCCTCAATCTTTCTTGTTCTCATATCGTTGGGAGGTTTCACAAAGTCAGGAAATTCACGTTATACATTATCCGTTTGAAATGCTATCTACCCCAACTTATCGAGTAAGGTGGTTTGTCTTGTCTTGTATCCTTCCCCACTGGTTTTATGCATCGCCCAGTTATTTTTCCCGATCTTCTGATCAAATACTTCAAACTCATACATACATCCATCAAACACGTATGTAGATACAGCAGTAACCACGCAAACATATTATACAGTTTATAATTTCACGGCATCTTTAGGCTTATCGGAAACTTTCTATCAAAATGCTACTGGAACCGTCTCACACTCTGCATTCTCATTTAAGTAAATGTATCTCTACATTTATCAATGGCTCCAAGTATGAGCATGTAGCAGCACGCACCACAACGCAAGTCTTCCATCGTACCGTACCTCGCACGGTTTCTTACTAATGCCGATCATTGAAAGCCTCAAACTTTGTTGGATTTACTTAATTGTCAGTGTATGCAGCGTATCATCATTCTTCTTGTTTCTACCCTGCCATTCCCACTACAGAAGAGTGATTGTCTAGTAGATGAGTGTTCATCCCTCACTGGGGCGAATTAAAGTGGTTTCTTGACCTGACTTGATGGGATATCCATGGGTGGTGCAAAACAAGAGGCATCTCTTCAGATTTGAGAGATAACTAGACAGATAAGGAGAGTTTCCTCATGGGGGTCTGGGACTTTAGGGTAAGACAGTTCGCCGTAGCCCATCCTGATAAAGAATTTTTTCCTTGAGAACCCCGAACGAAGCCCTTGACTCAAAAGTCTTGCCCAAAAGGTGGTGGGGCGTCGATCCACCACAGGAGAATGACCGAAGCACTCATATTGGAACTTAGAGAGACCTGTCACGCAATGCATTCGGGTTTCGGTTCAGTGTATCGTGTTGATTTTCGGTCAACTGTTCGCGGATCGGCCCTTATTCTCATGCACCCGATGAGATAAGTGGAAGGTCGATGAGACAGCACCTTATTGGCTGGGGGCTGCCCTGTTTGGGCGGTAGCTGTCCAATCAAGTGTAAAGACTTATCCCACCGTCCGGGGGAGGCCTGGATTTGAACAACTGGCTGAACATTTCGAGGCTCAGTTCACCGGGCCACCATTGGTGCTAAGCCTGTCAACCTCTAAAGGAGCTGAACAAGTACGACCATTCGATATCAGTCCTCTATCAAAAATGGAGGTTTCCGAGTAAATAAGCTATTTCGGAAGGTTGAGGTCTTCTATCTCCAATGGCCCGTCCATATCGGCTTCTAAGGATGGAGTTCAAGGCTTGGTTTTGGAGTTAAAGAAACTCTTGAGCTCAATATGAGATGCGAATCTGTCATCTTACCGATTTACAACAAAGGTGACAGATCTTCTTGTGAAAACCGTCGAGGAATTATTTTATTCAAAATTATCTCTAAACTTCTCACTCGCATCATACTTCACAAACTGCCTGCCGCACGTGAACAGGGCACGCGTGAGAATCAGGCTGGTCTTAGACCTGGTCGAGATTGCATCGACCACATTTCCATTACCAAATTTTTGAACACGAGCACTCTTATAGACCCAGTATGGTCGGGGGTGGGTGTCTAGGGTTGAGGCTGGTCACCCGTCCCTTGCATCTTGCGAAATGCACCCCTACAACCAAGCGTCTCAAATAGCCAATTCTATTGAGGAAGCCCTGCTCACTACCTTCTCTTAGCGGAGGTGTTTTCCCACCAGAGTGAGAGGACGAAGAGCTGACATCCGGATTGGTGGACCACTGGTAGTTCACCTAGGGGAGTTGGCAAAAAACCCTGATTCCAAACCAACCATGAGGAGGCGTACGAACCACACACACACCCTCCTCTGTGTGGCAGTGGTCACCTTGGACGTTTGACCCCGTTCAAAGGGCATATGATTTGATGAAGTGAACATCGGCACGAAATGGATTGCTTCTCTTCACATACCGCCCCGCTGCCTTGCGGGTCAGGCTTTGTCTATCCGAAAGCTTGGGTTGTAAATTCCTCAAGAAAGTTCACCTGCCTTGGCCTGGGCAACCTGGAAGTATTCAGCCCACATGCAAATCATGGAACATTTTCCTTTTTATAAAGATTTGTTTGGCACGGTCTGGCGTCAGACGTGTGTAAAGTATAATATCGGTAGACCCACCATTTCTGTCTTCCTCTAGCGGCTTACGACTCGGTCGACCGCTCTATACTATGGTGCTGGCTGTCTTCGAAATATGCCAGCTTCAGACGTCCATAGCACTTCCGCGAAATTGCTCTGTTCGTGAAGGGTTACGTGTATGCTGCAGAGGCTTGGCAAGTACGTGAATGGCACAAAGGTAGACTATCTGTTCGAACACTGCTATCTGTGTCACATTGCACTAGTCTGGGGGAAGAAATGAGACAAGTAATTCCAAGGTTAGGTTCACGGTTTTAATCTAGTTGATTTACTGGAGTATCTTCTCCAGGATATTCAGTGAATGCTCGACTGGTTCGTTGATGCTCGACATATCCTACGTTCCCCCACTAAAATCAAATCTGTTCCCTAAATTGTTACCTTCCTGGTATGATGGGGCCTGTGTCCGGGAAAGACGATCGTGTGTAACTGATGGTGACAAGCAAACTTGCCGCATCTGAACAGTTGGATATTAGAAAAGCAATCCGAATGCGAATGTTTAGCGCATCGCTGAAGTTGTTTCACGTCTCAAAGGGAGGATATTTTTACTAGGTGTTATAACGTTAATCCCTTTGGTAGTTCTATAAAACCAACACTTCATTGTTGAGAGGACGAAGTGGGGAGCACACCACTTCTCCATAACCTTTAATAAAACATAGCCTATTTATTGTTTTTGTGGTTTGGATAGTCTATGGCCAATAGAAATTTCTCCGGTTTACGCTTTAATCCCCCGCCTCTTAAAAAAAACTAACGAAGAAACGACACGAACAGTTAAAATTCCATTGAACCATCCAAGCGGAAAGGAGATTAACTAAATAGCATGTTTGGTCGAAAAGAGGCATATGATTAGCGATGGAAAGTTTGTGATGAGCGACAGAAAGCACTGGACAGCTGTTTCGTCCTGTCAGTAGTGCGTAATTTTTATGTCCCTGTCAGGTCTCAAACCACATTCGGATCTGGATCCCCTAACCCATACTCCTGAGCGACACGGTCGACGGATATCATTTTGTGTGAATGGTTTAAGCAATCAAGATTAGTAAATTTGGAATAATCCACTCGATTATTCACTGGCACCGAGCACTGTTGATGGTCTTGTGTGTGGGTTTCACTCCTTGGTAGATCGCTAATTCCTCTTTAGTTGAATGTGTTTATAAGCGATGGAACGATTTGTGTGATGATCGACAGTGAGCACCGAGACAGCTGTTTCAGGGCTCGTCAGCAGTGCATACTTTTTGTGTCCCTGTCAGGACTGTTGGAGAAATAACAATCTCTCAAGGAGTAAAACCCACACCCAAGACCATCAACAGTGTCTATGAGCAGTCTAATGGATTATTCCAAACATACTACCCTTAGAGGCATATTATTCTTGTCGGATACATATGACCCGAAAGAGGGAAGTACTGTGAACAAAAATGTGCCGCGATTCGGTGAATTTAACTGGTCTGTTATCTTCTATTACGATAGTCTGACTGACCTGTGTTGTCAAAACCAGTTTTGAAAACCCATTTCCCCGAATATATTTCACGTCCTCTTATTTCCCCTCAGGAAACCAAACCCTATAAGAACGATCCACAGATCATGGCGATGACAAGTCTGGTCACAGCGTATCAAAACAATGATATAGCCGAGTTCGAGAGCATATTACGGCGCGAGCGGGACTCAATCATGGAGGATCCGTTCATCCGCGAGCACATCGAGGACTTGTTGCGCAATATTCGTACCGAGGTCCTGATCAAATTGATCCGACCGTACACGCGTATTCGCATTCCATTCATCTCGCAACAACTCAAACTCAGCGATGCGGAGGTGGAGAGTTTACTCGTGGCTTGTATCCTGGACAACAGTATACAGGCAAAAATTGACCAAGAACAACAGATTTTGGTCTTGAGCCCGGAAGCCACATCCGAAGCACGTTATCAAGCGCTAGACAAACTGGCTGTTCGTTTGCGGCACTTGCAAATCGCAATGAGTGGTCGCTTGCCCATTGCCAGTTGACCGACTTTGTCCAGGCCCTCGTTTTTCACCGACCCAACTTGTTTTTTCTCTCTCTCGTTTCTGACGCTGTGCGTGTGATCTTGCCCATTTCGCAATCCTTCCTCCGCATAATGTACATAACCAAGAATATGAGGACAGGCAATGCTGTGTTCCTTACTACCCCGCTCCTTCCCAGCCCCGTCACAGACTAGGACATCAGCCCATGCGTTATTGGACCCGATCATTCACCAGTTGAACTGATTGCTACCCAGATGGAAATAAACAAACACTGCAGTTTCCGTACCTTGATTTCTTTTTGTTTTATTTTTTCTTGTGCATATCTGACAGAGTCGTCGGCTCATCGAACGTTCACCGTTTACCTGGGACTCGTACCGTAAGCCAGAAACAAGTCTATCTCATCTCAATTCAATAACCCATAGTAGCACAGATGCAAGACAGTTTGCGTTTTCTGTCTAAGTCCCCGGTCCAAGAGAAGGTTATCTCTTGAAAAAAAATGAAGAATGAAAATTGCAGGCATGTTTATTTTCAATAGAAATAGAAACCGATGACAACGGGGACAAGGCCCCCGGGGAACAAAAGTTTGTTTCTAGCCAAGTAACGAGAGCAGATACAAATTGTTTTGCGTACACGCCACACATGCGGGATACGGTTTAGACAAAGCCACAAATCCGATAATCGGTTCATTGTCGGGCAAACAGATCACATGTTGCCAGGCGACATGCACGACACCTTCGGGAATGGGTTGATCTGTCTTGGCAACCTTACGACGACGAAGCTCAGTATCCCCACTGGGAAAATCGCTGGTGTCCAACGGTTGACGATACACGTAGATCCTCTTCGATGCATCGGCTACCGCAACAAATGGTAGGGGAGTGGGAGGTGTTAGTAGTGGGGCGGACACAAATCGATGATCTCTTTTGCTTGCTAGGACGTAGCCGAAAGCTTGTAACGTGCATGTATGCAGCCAAGGGCATGTGGGGTTAGTCCGATCGGTGCGTTTCTTCGTCTTGGATGCACTCGTGTGTGGAGCGGGTTCGTTCAGATGGTGTGGAAGCCATACAACCCCGTCCACATCGTGCCGGATACACAGGGCGGTAGTGGCGCTCGAGGAACTGGCACTATTAGCATCCAATGAGACGTTTAACAACCATTGATGTCCTGATAAGCTTGCCTGTAAATGGGAAAATTTTATGGTGGAGTGAACAATAAAGTTTACGACAATCCAATGTAGGATAAACGCGCATCTGTACCGTTAAGACAAACTGACAAATAACAAAACCATAGATTCAAATGGATTTTAGGGGCGGGGAATCTTCCGCGTGTGCACCATTCGGATGAGTATCGGCATTCCTTTCACCATTTCTCAACCAGGGGCTAGGGGATTTTATTTCAGTTCACTGTACTGAGACGAACTAGAAGTGGACTATTAATCACGGTACGGATCGGCTTATGCAACTTTTGTGTATCATATATCCCGGTATGGCAACTAGGAATAGACCACTGGTAATGCTGGTCCTAGAGTGACTCAGAAATGTAGAATAGATGTGTATAAGAGATAAAACTCAGATAAGTGATATATATTTCATAATGAGTAGTATTTGAATGGCCGGACAAAATTTCCCTGGAAGCATATATATATCGGACTGGCTTTGAAAGAGCTGTCCATCCGGTGTTGCAAATGACGTTACTGTGACGACGATACACATCCTAGATACAAGTACACGAATGAAGTGACGAAAGATTGCCAGACAAGTGGCAAGAACCGCCGTGTGCTTCCAGAGAAATTTTTCAAGTTATTCACATGCTACTTATTATGAAATATAAATGTGTATGGTGCCAAAATAACCATGGATGGGAAAAAACATCACATAAGCAAGATAAAAAGCAATCAGTTCCGGGTGGGGGATAAAAAATAGTTCTTTTCCTGCACACAATTTTGACTTTTCATCTCTTTATTTTTGGGATTGCAGATATCTAGGACCACCGAATTCGATTAAATGCCATATCGCGCATTGTCTCCAGACAGCGATAGTCTGAGTTATTGGGGGCACCTGGCAACGGGCTGATGACTACTAAATGTTGAATGGTAAGGGGAAGTTTATATCAGAGAGAATAGCTTAATGTCGAATACAGTCGAGAGGAGGAGAGTAACGCATTACCCTCGCATGTGGGTAGCAGTATTCGTGGTTGAAGTCAGTTTGTTCTGCACAACAGAAGACAGATCGGAGTGAATAAATGTCAAGTGCAGAATAAGAAACCGATCTTGCGTGCAACACGAGAAGGAAGTGAGATGTATGGGAAACATTTGCATTTACTTCATAAGCATTGCACATGTCCCAGCGCTTGTCAAAGCTCGCATCATTTTATTTCACCTTACGGTGATAATGCTGATAGTCCTTGTGCGGCGTTTCAAGTGAAATTGATTTATTCAAGTTTTTGTCTTACACGAAGCCAAACAGCTGGAATTTGCAGTATGGCAGCTGATTTGACTAGCATGTCCAGAGAGAATCACAAGCGGAGTGTAATCCACATTCGAGACTCGTTTTTTTCACCACATTTGTGCAACATGTCACTCTTACAGCAGACAATGCACCAAGCTAACCAATGCAGTTTTTCAGTAACAGTATCGGGCTTAAAGCTGGATCACAGAAAGTTACTTACAAAAGCGTGCCCAAAATGTACACCACTTTCGTACCTTTCGAAGTTCCAAGAAATAAGCAACTGTGAACAAAAAAGCATTGGATGGTTATTCCGCTATATTTGGAGGCTGCTAGAAGCCTTTGATCAGCGTATCTGTACGCGACAGGGCGCGTTTTCAAGTGGTATATGGGTAAGCAGTGGTTACTCTGTACGAGCTACACGGAATGAAAGTGTCAGACGACGAGTGGCGGGGCCAGAAAAACAAAGTAGGTTTACTCATGGTAGGCGATATTTTCTGTCTTTTTGTCCTATAGGTACCACCACTGGGCCGTGCAACCCACGGTAGATTTCATGCTGAACTGCTTGTCGACAAGCACTACAGTTATCATCTTCAAAATACAGCTTAAAAAGGTTTCTCAAGGGGTGACCGAAGACTTTTTTTACACACGGTAGTCATAATGTTATATATCCACAAGACCGTGCTGAGACGAGAGCAAAGTTGTTTATCACGAATACCGATAAGGGTATCGATAGATTGGCGTACATGCAACAAAACGTCTCATTTGTAACAAAGTCATCATAATTCCGACGAACACGCAAGATAATCAATGGAACAGTTCGACGGTAGATACGCATTTTCTGTGGTTACAAATCTGAACACAGCAGTTTGCTCCAGGAGATCTTGTTCATTCTTGACCGTTGTGAGAAATCTTCACATTGTTTTGTGCAATCCAAACAAACTACTCACAGATGTGAGTAGTACCTCAACTTCGAGATTTTTCATGCATGAATACAAGAAGCTGACTAATTGTTAGGTACGATTAAAGTTTAAACGGGAATTCGTCGTGTATATAGCAAATAAAGCGTGAACTGAAAAGCTAAGAAGCATTGGACAGCTGTTTAGACCTGATTGTGTCTCATCTGCAGTGCGAATGCATCTACCGACTGGGGTACGATTAAGTCTAAGATGAAAAGCGTACAAAAGCAAACTTATCAGCAGTGCACCAATTGTATACTCTAAAATGGGAAGTGAGCCACCAAAAGCTTGGGACTTTGCACAACAATAAACGATTATAATTCAAGGCAGCTGTGGGCAATGTGATAGACATTGAACACAACGTGCATTTGCACTGAACATCACAATTTTTATCTTGGGTTGGGTGCCGTCAATACGGACTCATCTAACCTGTAGTGTTGGCGCTAAACGGATTGTTTTTTTTATTGCTCGATAGACGATTATATACAATAGTCAGCTATCAGAATATTGGAAAGTTTGAATCACTAATAGGAGGAAACCTTCAGTTTATTTGTATGCCAAATTTGAGTTGTGCACACTCTGCAAACAAATTCTTGTTCTTTTTTGTCGCACCCGGGGTTAAAAGGCAGTAGTTTGGACGAACAGTGGTTGCACACTAAATATATCGATAGATTAACAACTGACCGCGATCGCATCTCAGTCGTAGCTCGGGTTAAGTGAAGTTCGTTGTTTCACAGTGTGCGCAGCCGATTTGGTGTTCTAAACCAAGTCACACCACCACCATCGCGATAAGCTTCAGGGCGCAGTTCATGGTCTTCCTATGAGATTTAGTCGATCAATTTTTGATAGACCAGTCAGTGCCTCAATCAAGTTTAAGTAAGCTTTTACCTTGGAAAACCTGTGTTGCGATCTGAGAGATTTACCGCCCTAGTTCTGCTATACAGCGCAGAAACTGAAATATCAGGGAAACAGGAGCCAGATTGTCGGTGTTTGAACATCGCTGTCTACGCAGTATTGAACAAATCTGATGAGCAATGCTGAGGTTAGGTGCAGAGTTTTAGGTAATCGCAGTCACCCACTGAAGCCAGTGGTTGGCCTCCATAGATTGCGTTGTTCGGGGCATGTGTTACGCATGTCATCAAATAGGTTGCCATGGCGCGCGGTGTTTGCCGAGGCAGACAGAGGGTGAAGAAAAGGTCAAGGGTGGTCAAAATAAGACTAGGAAAATCCTAACCAGGACACTCGGTCATACAGATCGCGTTAGGCACCCTGGATGGGGACCTCGGGATCACCGTAACCGACGGTTAAAGACCCTGAATGATACGTCTGAGTGTCATAAACAGTGACNCCGTGCAGCTTCTTTATTTCCCTGCAACATTAGTTTGCTGAAATTCTTCACTTTCTTTTCCATACTCCATCATCCAAATGGACAGCCAAAGGACAGTAACCGAAATCAAAGCACAAAAGTGCAGAGTCGGTGGTTGTACAAACTGAAAAAAAACCGCTTTAATCAAAAGGCAGTTTCGGTTTGCCCCGGTGGGATTAGCTCATGGCTTAGGCGTACGTTTGAGCCTCCGTTCATGGATGAGGATAAAACTGAGCGAATCAAGAAGTAAGTGATCGATCAAATCGCATGAACTGTATCCCAAGGCTTATCACGATGGTCGTGGTGTTTGAGTGTGTGCGCACGCACACGTGCGAGCACATTTGAGAAACCTAATCTCGGGTGCGTGCACTGAGACAACAAAACAATGGATAGGATATGAGTAAGAGTAAAATGCATCCAAGTGAAGATAAAAAAGGTGAAACGTGCAAGAAGCACACACACACACACCTGCCTGACACACTAGGCATGGATTAATTATAAAATGAACAGAAGGTGGATAGGAGTCTCAATAACACTCAGTCACTTCACTCACTTCAGTTTATACAACCACTGACCATGCACTTTCGTGCGCCAGTTTTAGTTGCTGTCTTTTGGCGGCCAATTTGAATGAACAGACAGAAAATGCACGAACGCCACTGTTTACGACACTCAGCCATATCACTCAGCGTCTCTCGCCATCGGTGACCATGACCTCGGGGTCCCCAGCCAGAGAGCCGAAGAGCCTGTGACCCAGTCCCCTGGTTAGGGTTTTCATACCCTCATGCCAGGTCCCCGTTTGACCACCCCTTACCTGCCTCGGCGAACATCGCTCGCCGTGGCAACCTATCTGGTAACATGCATAACACATGCTCTAACCAACGTAATCTATAGAGGTCGACCATTTGCTCCAGTGGGAGACCGCATTGACCTAAAACTCTGAGCCTAACCTCAGCATCGCTCGTCCAGCTGCCCCACCAGATTCGTGCAATACTGCGTGGACAGCGGTCTTCAAACAGCGATGGTCTATCCTTATCTTGTTTTCTTAATGGCCAAG